TTCCAATTAAGGGAGCGATAAGAGTTTTATTCCAAAAATAGTTACAAAAGTAACTGAGAATTCTCAATACCAGTGGGTGTAAGTGCATTACAAGATCTGTGTAAAATGCAAATAAGTACTGCAATACGCAGTATCAAGTCTATATTCGCCCACTCAGTTCCTGTAATGGACTAATAGCTTTAGTAATTTTAAAATAATTTTACATTACCTATGTATATTACCATATGTGGGGTTCTTCAATAAATGCAGCTAAGAAATATTGTTATTTATAACACAGGAAAAAGTTATCAACTTAGGCGACACTTGAACCTCTTTAGATATATTTAAAGATAATTATGAATGATGCAACACGCTGGATACCTCTTTAAAATCATATAAAGATGTTCGTGAATATATTTCAACATTTAATGTCGGGGTAATAACATGCTAATACTGCGATCGAGCATTTCCCACACGGCCCACCATTATTACAAATCTCATGCCTCTATGGTCTATCCACGAGGAATAATTGCGGACTTATTACAGTTTACAACACCAACTGTAGCGATCAAGGAATCAGCCAATTGATTAATTAGGCACAAGGTATAAAGCCGGCTGTTGCAGCAACCAGGTCGATTTCGTTGTTTGATAATGCCACGTTTTGTTACTTTTTACTGCACTTTAATCGGCAGTTAGGTTTGGGCGTGTTTATCCGGCGGGAGATTCTTGTGGCAATTGCGATTACATTCGGGAGACTGCAAATTGCATTGAACGTATTACTAGATAATGTTCATGACTTTGTTTATATAGACTTAGTATGTTCATGTGCTTACATTAGGGAGACTTTGCAAATTGCATTGTATGTACTTGCTAGCTAATGTTCATTACTTTGTTTGCGTAGGCTTCGTTCATTTGATTTCCCCACAAAATTGTATAACCGTGATAAAAAGTATTATTTTTAAGCGATGATTGTTTATGTGTGTAATAAATTTAAATTAATTTTATTATTATTATGAAAGAATCTAAATTCATAAATAACAAGTGTAATTAATTCTAGTCTGATAAGAAAAAGATTTGTCGTTAACAGTTAGTCGATAATTACTATTTTTGTCTTGCAAAGTAGAACACAATAAAAAGTAAATTATACTTTACCAAACACTAACTAATAATTTAAAACGTAAGTAAGTATGCGTGCAAGCCCAAACGCCTAGAGCGGGTTGTTTATAGTGCGCGTGCGCCGGTCACGCGCTTTGGCGGCCATATGTCGACATTTTCGCACTATATTAAACACAATCCGTTTTACGAGTACGTATCGATGCTGGTGAGACAAAATGTAGGAAGCGCCACTTTGGTCTATATTAAGTTATATATATTAATAAAATTTGTTTATTTTTACTACGTCAAATAATATATTTAATAAATTCAACAGAGCAGTTAGTGATGATTTAGCCAATGTATAAAATGTTAATCACAGGAGTCCTTTGTTTACACTCCTCATCTTTTATTCGTTTTCTATTATTTATACTATCTATTCTTGATTAATATGAAGTATCAAATATACACAGATCTAATGATATATACTCTTATCTGTATAAACTATAGGTCTATTTTTGTCTGTTACTTTATCGAGTTGAGAATTATTGACAATCATTAGAATTGCTTATAACGGATTAAATATTTGTGGGAAATCGTATCTTTTGTTTAGTTATTACTCGTTGTTACTGTTGCTATTGTTCAATGCTATGATGTTTATGCCTGTGTTACAAGGCTGAGTTGCGACACTTGTATTACTATCGATGTAGTTGGGTTGGCAGGTATTAATATTTAGATTTACATTTTGTATCTATTTGTCTACTATTGTATCCTATTATTCCGATTATTATGTGACAAGTTTACCAATAAATAAATTATTCATATCATCAAGAAGTTAATTTAATTATTTATTTAAATGACAGAGATAAAAGATACTTAATAGTATTACGTGTACTTTGATTTACATTTTGTATTTATTTTTCTACTATTGTATCCTGTTTTCGTGATTATTAAGTTACGGGTTTACGAAATTATTTATTTTGCTCATAGTATTATGTGCGCATTCAAATTATTAACTATATAATCTTTCACGTTTATAAAATAAATAGTAAAAAATATATAAGGATAAGTAAGAATGTGAGAAATGAAATACGTCATAATAAAAATATAGCTCTAAAGAAGTATAAATAAAACGAACAATCATATAATTAATACTTTGCTTATAAAAATTGGGCCTAAATTAATATTGAGTGTACTAAATTGCTTGAGTACAATTTTTACCTGTAACAAGAATTTTTAAAATTGCTTCGATTTGGTGAAGATACTCGTACATACAAAAAAGGAATACAGGAGAGAGAACGTTCTTTTTTTGAAAATATTTGAAAAGGTGAATGACAATAGTATAAAGAAATAAATGAAGTAACAATCCTTATAGACATGCGCGAGAGACGACCACTGCCCCGGATCCCACACGAGCTCGTGATCACAATATAAACGTGACAAAATTGTTAGCCAAATTGTGATAAGCATCATTTCTGCAATTTCTATTCTCACCGTCTTGAATTTAGATGATGTGTAATAATGTAATAAAAAGAACATGTTTTTAAATGTACCCGTTCAGTTTCCTAGTATAACAGGATTTGAAGGTTTTTTGTTTTAGCAAATAATATAAACTATGTACGTTCTCCATATTAGCATTTAAATCTAATAGTTTCTATCGAATTTTGGGAAAAGCAAGTGTAACCACAAACGCGTAAATAATTGAATTTGTAATTTTATTATAATTTTTTTATTATTCCAGCCGTTAACTGTCCATTGCTGGATATAAGCCTTCCCATAAGGGGAGTTTTGCCAGTAGTTACCAGGCTTGGTAGGCGGGTTGGCAACTAGCTAGACTTTTAGTGATGTTTTAAGAGGGACACTGCTGCCCATCCCTCGCTCTCTCTGAAAGAAAGGGCTGGCCCATACGATGCCGGGGTACACTCGGCGAATTTGTAATTACGAGAGAAATAATAAAAAAAAAATCTAAGTGTTGAAAAATTTAGAAAGTAACTATTAGAATAAGCGTTTTTAGTTTTATTAAAGTAATCTATTTTTTATATTATCACAAGAAAATAATTGAAATGACTTCAACAAAATTTTATAATCAAATAGGTGCAATTTTAAGAGATAGTATTTTAGCTCAACTTAAAACTAGTAATTCTGAAATGACAGACGTGTGCTTATTTTCAGGTTTATTATCGTATTGTGAGACATAAAACGTGCTCGATTAGCTTTTTATTTATATTATGAATACCTACGAGGTTTTATTAAATTTAGATTAGTGAATAATGTAATATAATGAAAGTACCATTACATGAAATAAAGTAGAGGTCTTACCTAACTATTATTACTATTCGTAGTTGAGTAAATAATATAACAAAATATAAATTCAGTTAAGACATTTATTTCAATATATTTAATATAATTACCATGTGGTCTCGCCATAGAATAGACCACCCCTTTCTTTTTCGTGGGTGTTGTAAGAGGGTAACTAAGGGCGAGATGGGCAGCAGCATCCCTGTTAAGATTTCTCCAAAATCTGTCTGTCAAGCGTAGCAACTAGTGGCAAAACACCCACAATGGGTTATGTAGGAGGTTTATGTTCTACAGTAGACAGTTAAAGGCTGATTATGACGATGATAATGATTTAATATAATAAATTTTGTATAAGACACTTTTTTTTAAAGAAGGGAATAAAAATTATTAATATCATGCTGACCAGGCTTGGAATAATGCTTTACTCCAAGTTTTATTATTCTTCGTTACCGTAGCTGCTTTTTTAGACATATAAGAAATAAAAAATTGTAATAATACCTTGTATTTTTATTCAGTCATTTAACGATACTGTAATATATTATAATTTTTTTTAGAATTTTATAATAAATTAGAATATATTTCGTAACTAAAACTAAAGGGATTGGTTATTAAATTATTACTGCACTAAATGCAGGGCTATTTGATACTCGGATCGGTACGTGGTCACACCGATACTGTATCTTTGCGATAAAGTATTCCAGTTCAAACCGTTTTGAGTTATTGCACCTTTCATTGGTCTTGATGAAGTACCCTATAGTATAAAATATTGTAACGCTAGAAAACTGGCCTGCGAGAATAAATAGTATGTATTATAGCGCAATTGTCGTTCATACTTGAGATTATAACATTTGTTATACCTTTATATAGTTCAATAAATCATAAATATTCATTTATTTTCTTGTGATAATCATAATCAAAATAATGCTTCTGACCATTATTTTGAAATCCTGTAACTTTTGTACAAGAATTGTTAATGACGATAATTAATTTTTGTAACAATTTATTTTATAATTTCATAAAATTCCTATAATTTCTATTTGTAGTTTCTTTTTAATTTAATGTATTAATGTTGGTGTTTATAGTTTTTTTTTCAATAGATGATAAATGAAATGGTAACTCCGGCTGCATTATTGATATACGCTGGGCAATAAGGTATGATTGGTGAGAATGAAAGCAGGTCAGTTAGCCTATCGTGGCCAATTCATTAAGAATAAACTATAATGGTTTTCTGAGAGGACTGCGTTGAGGATAACTTGACAGGGCATATTGCTAGCAATAGAGCAGCTAGTCTTCATTACTATTTTTTTTTATTTCCCTAGTTTATTGTTGTCCTTCTATAGATACATAGGACTTGTAGAAGAAACTTACGACGTTCTTGTGTAAATTCCAAGCGTAACCAATAACATCTTCTTTCTCAATCGATCACTTACATTTCCAAATGACTCTAAAATAGTCGGTTCTTCTTTTGACTTAAAACTCTGTTTCGTTTTGGATAGATAATTTGATTACATTTGTAAGCAGGTATTTATAACAAAATACAATAACAAAAAAAATCCATAATTTAAATATGCATGAAACTACATTTAACAGAATCAGAGCTGTTGTTTTAATTAGTAACTGTTTGTTCGCAGATTGCTTCGGCGCCCAGTCAGATCGTTCGAGGCAGCGTTCTGGTCCCATCAGAAGCGTGCCCGTAGCCGCCGATATCAAAAGGGACATAGACTTCGATTGTCCCGAGGAGTTCGGTTATTATCCACATCCCACCGACTGCACGTTGTACTATGTATGCGTGTTTGGCGGCGCTTTGCTTGAGTCTTGCACTGGTGGTCTTATGTACAGGTATAGTTACTTATTTATACCTAATATAAACTGTATATTCTTAAATAGTTTGTTTATACAGTATTGTAGAGAATGAATAAATATTTTGAATTTGAATATGTACTACCTGATGACACCAACAATCGTCGTGTGGTCCCAATAGAGAATGGGTCACCCCTTCCTTTCCTGTGGGTGTCGTAAGAGGTGACTGAGAGTATTTAATGTTCGAAGAATGGGCAGGAGTGTCAATCTTAAAACATTACCAAAGCATAGCAGGCGTAGCAACTATTGGCAAAACTTCCCAAAGGGGTGGCCTATATTCAACAGTGGACAGTTAACAATCGCCTGCTCCTAGCTAGTTAATCCTAAAGTTAGGGTTAGGTTAGGTGTATTGAAAAACCAGGCAGCGACATTCTGGTGCACAATCTATAACACTCAGATCTGAGATAGTTCAGAAAAGTTTGTTTTTTTATTTGCCTGACTAGACTTAATTGAATCTAGAACTTAATAAACGCAAAGCTACTTACTTACCCCTACGTCACGGAAGATGTCTATGAATAATACAAAAAAATATGTTACAGTAATAAAATACAAAAATTGGTTTTATTGTGTTATCTCTTACAGATAACTTTTAGAGGAGAAAAGAAAGAAGGGGGTAGTTATTTGACGCAAGAAATACTCGTATAATAAAAAAGAGAACGCTCATAATAATGATATATAAGTACATACTATACATAATTTTAAACACATAAAATAATTAATAAATTAATAATAATAATTAGTATACATATAATAAAAATATCTATAAATATATTTATTTATATGTTAACAATGACCGTATAAAAATGAATGAAAGTTCCTTTAATAAATGCGAGTAAAGTGTAATTTGTCCTCAAAACATTTTATTTTGTATAATAAGAAGTAGTAACCATCGTCTTTAACTTAAGTACGTTATACTAAGCTTATGGTATATCTATAGACATGAATATTGCTATGGATATATCGTAATTTGAATTATAGATATATTATTAGTTGACTTTTATTAATCTTTATTGTAACAAAATATGCGATTGAATTTGACTAGTTTCTTCTTATTTATTTACTTTGTAATTGTGATATATAAAATATAATAATTCAATAATAATAGATATATATGTATATAAAATCTGTTAATATTTACAGTCATGAACTCCAAACATGTGATTGGCCGCGGAATGTAGGCTGTGATGGCACTAGCGCTATAGGCGCAGAGGACTTGGAGAGAATCAGCGAGAGGGAGCCACCGGCACCCCCACCACCACCACCACCAAGACGAACCCCACCACCGCCACCACCACCACCACCGAGGGCGCAACCTAATCCTGTGGTTACGTCCAGAGGGCAACCGAAATTTAATCGCGATGAATACGAAAAAGTAAGTCCAAGTTAAGTTTAATTGCTGTGTTGTCCTGGCATAGAATGGGCTAGCCCTTCCGCTCCCGTGGGTGTACGACACCCAGTAGCGACTAAATAAATTAAAGGATCAAGGGATGGACAACGGCGTCCCTATTAAAACATCACCAAAAACTAATTGCGATTGTTACCCGCCTGCTATGCGTCACAACTACTGGTAAAATCCTCCTTTATGGGGAGGCCTATGTTCAGCAGTGGATAGTTAACGGGTAACATGATGATAATGATAAAGTTTAATTATGATTTATTTTTTAAGCATTTTTTTACTGCAGGGAGATTTTATACAAAAGTCGTGTTCTTGAGTGCCTCTGTCTTAATTGTGTTTGAGCCGTGATACAGCTGATCTATGGCCTGTTTTGGTTTGAAAAGTAACATATGACAGTAAAATTACAGGCTACGGAGGTGTAATATAATAGTTTTTAGAAATGGCAACGCATGAGATGTATCGTGGGCATCGCAGTTCACTACATTATGTTAATGATATTATATATCTATAGGCGACGGTTACCATATTTTGTTAGGTGGGTCATCAGTTTGTTTGTCATTCTGTAAGAAAGGAACATCCAAAAGCTGGTTTTATCAGATCTTTTTTACGACTATGTTACGCAATAATTTTACCAATGTGTACAATTTTTACAATTCTTACTACAATTAATAATGTTTTTTTTTTTCGTGTTGGTCTTATATTAATATGGAGGCGTAGTAGCCGTTTTTATTTGCGGAGTAAAAACTGATAACTGTGAAGCAATATTTGCATGTGAACATACGATGTCATGTTCTAAATTTAAATACCTATTTGTAAGACAAAAAAGTAAAATTTACATAAATAATGTTCAGCTTGAATTTGTAAAAAATTGGTATCAATATAAAATTTATGCTTATAATATAATTGTAAAATTAATAAATAATTAAGTTGTAAATATTATAAGCGTTTATGTGCAAGTATATGCGTGTAAAAATAAAGCAGGTATCATCATCATCGCCTTACCCTTATCCCAATTATTATTTGGGGTCGGTGTAATGTTTTAGATCCATATTACATAAAGATTTGGGCTATAGTTTTACGACCGGTCGCCTGTCTGATGTCAACCCTCTGGCTGTAATATATATTTTATTCTATAATTATGTAGCCGAATCCTTAGTAATATTATAAAGCAGGTATAATTACGCAAAATTTAATATACTTTTTTTATTATTATTATAATTTGCCATTACAAATTGGCAGACTATCATTATTTACTAGATATTTACTAGTATGCTCCGTGATTTCGATTAGTTTATTGACTTATGAAGAGTAATATTCAAATAATAATAATGCGTTCCAAATTAATTGTACTCTATTCTGAGTATTGTGTGAAGATCTTTCATGTTTAAATTTTAATAATATTAATAATTAACCTCCTGTTGAAATTAATTAGCCTTTATAAGAGCCTTTCTGTTGATTTGCTTGCTTTATTTTTATTTTATAGCAACAACAATTGTATGCTGAAGTAGACGACTTGCCACCAGTCGAAGAAATCGAAACTGACAGGCAACAACGAGTGAATCGAGGACAACCTTCAACTATAGGGCAGGTTCAGAAAGATCGCGATGGTTATGTTTCTCAGATTGTTAGTTCGGGAAGAAATCTTAACTCTAATATTATACCAGCTTCAATACCTCAAAACAATGGAAAAAGTGGGTCTTTCTCTTTCGGCACTCAAATTGATGACAGAAGAACTGCTGTTGTCACTCAGGCACCACAAACTTATAGGTGGGTTATTATATTATACTGACTTGCATTGTACTGACATTTTGGTATACTCTCAATTAATAGCTTAATGACGACAACAAATAATGCTAACATTATAGATAATGTATATGATAATGTATATGTATATCAAAATGCTGTCAGTATCAAGCTAAACTATGCCTAGACTTATAAACTAATTGACTTTGTCATTATTTCAGTGAAGACAAAAGTGACAACGTGACTGACTATCTTCATGACAGACAATTAGACATTGAGACAAATGAAATCAATGTTGACCACGTTACTGAAAAAACAGTTTTAAGAAGAAAAAGAGATGTGGTAGGTACGAATTTAGGTTTAAAGGAAGAGAAAAAAAATGACACGGAAGATATCTCCAAAAGAAGTGATAATGATGAAGAAATAGAATTTTCTGACATTGACGTAGAGTCGGACGACGATGATAACAATGAAGACGATAGCGAAAGGGGGAAAAGGCAAATACGATATTTTATTAAGAATGGATATAAACCCGCAAAAAATTGGGGTATTGGGAAACCAATAAAGCTTGTAAATTTACAACAGCATACATATAATTCAAACTTTCAAAACGATAGATTTCCTTTAAATTTTAATGAAGGAAGTAAAAGTAATTCTTATGCTCCAACACGAAATCCTTCTGGGGGTAACATATATTTGGCCTCGGATTCTTATCCATTTTATGAAATAGATTCAGAATCTCAACGTCCTTTTAAGCCAAGTGTACGAGATCCAAGTACTCAAAAATATATTCACAATCCAGCAAATGCGCCTACACAAATTATTACTAAAAGTCCACCAATATCTACTTTAAAAAATAGTAATAATCCGTTTGCTTCATTAGCAGGTGGATTCTATAATAACTCTCCCAAATCTGCAGGAAATCAATATTCGTCGCAAATTATTTCATCAATAAATCGTCCAAGTCACCAGGTCGTATTTCCAGATTCGTCGCAATTACCAAGCACTGTAGTAACGGGAAAACCAATTCTTATGACTACTCTGTCACCTAATACTCGAAATGAACATAAAGTAAGGCCTACAGATTCAATTCAACAAAATCAAAAAAATTACAATGATCACAGAAATGGAAAAAAAATCAATCAAAAGCAACAGGATTATCCTGATCGAGATAATTCTAGTGAAGAAAACGATTCAAACGAATCATCGGAAAATGATTCTTCTGAAAGGAATAAAGACGACGATGACTTTAATCATGATTTCCCAGAATTACCTTATGAATATACTCATCCAAATCATAAATATGCTGAAATTGAAAATCCGTTTGCTAATCCTAATTTTGATTTCGATGCATTTTTGACAAAATTGAGTGGCGGACAGTATACAACACCTAAATACAAAAATGTTCAAATAGCTGCATTGAGGGTCACTAATCGTCCCGTAGAATCAACTACAGTTTCTAATTATAATTCCGGTTTTCGATCATCAACCATAAATTATCAAGGAATGAGTACACCGCGACCATTTACTATTCCTATAAATTCCGTTACTAGTGGTAATCCAAGTAACCCTCAAGATATGAATCAATGGCCACAAATACCTCATTATAGGCAACAACAAAATCATATAAAACAACAGCAACATAATATTGGACAGCAACAGCAACAAACTTTAAATCAAAATATTTATAGGATACCACAACAATCTGCTGGTGGAACGGTAGAATCCATCAGATCTAATCATATGTCACCAAATTTTAAAGATGAACGTCAATTGCCTGTTAACTACAGTTTCATTGGAACTGCAGATGGTAATTCAAATCAAGCTTATAATAAAACTAAAATAAATAGTGATAAACAAATTTTCACTGTAACCCAAAAACCGTACTCGATCGTAACGGTTACCAGTGCACCTATAATTTTGTCAACACCAAAACAGCAATACTTAACAAAACCTGGAAAGATTGTTATAGAGCCACATTTGTTTGCAACTGGAAAACCGTATTTGTTGTCTACTTCTAAACCACAGAATCAAAATACTTATACTGTTTTTAAGCATTCAACAGCAAAACCATTAACGACGTTAGCAAATGAACAATTGTCAGCGTTACAAAATTATTGGAGAAATCCTTCTACGGAATCTCACCTTTTCGTACAATCGACTCCTAGGCCTAACTCAGTATCCGAGATTCCAATAAGACAGAATTATGTATCACAAACAAATATACCTTTATTAGCACCGATAAAAGGCCAAAACATTTTTGCGAATGTAGCAAAAAATCCAGTTACTACTACAATATTACCTTTTAAGCGTAAACCTATTCCCAAGCCATCACCAGAAATGAATGATTATTACTACGATGATGAAGATGAGCAATATTACTATGAACCTCCTGTAAAATCTAAGTATATGCCGAGTTCTGAGATTAGACCAAAAAGGCCACAAATGGCACAAAATTATAAAGAATATGATGATTATTATGAAGAAAATCCTCAAGAAAAACCTGTAAATATTAGGCCTTATCAAACTTCAAGAATTCCAACAGCTTTTACAACAAATAAACCAAGTACTATAAATAAAAATCAAAATGATGTATCTGTTGTTACCAAAGCTCCATTAAAAGACTTTAATAAAATTGTAGATGGAAAGATTACTGTGCCTGTAATGATAAATTATGGAGAAACTACTCCAACTATTTTAACACGTCCAGAAATATCTGATTATGAAGTGATTCATCAATCTTCTAGGAATCAAACAACACATGTGAGAAAACCTACTATTTTTACTACAACTCCCTTTACGCAGAGGCCTCCCAAATATTTGAATCAAACTACTCTCAGACCCTATACTGTTAGACACAGATTAGCTAAACCTACTGCTATTAAGGAATCTGTGATGATTGTGTCAACTGAACCAACTAGAGGAAATACACGACACCAGAATTTAGTGACACAACTAATGAAGTTCACCACGCCCCGTGATAACTACAATCAAGAAACTCGTTATACTAAGACTAAACATGACCATAAAACTAACAGGTAAATTAAAGTACACAAAGCTAACTAACGCTATTTAATTGATATCAAGATGTATTTATTCAATGGGCACTTCACTAACTAATTCGGCGGGGTTTCTTTTTTGTACATTTCTTTACAGTTATATATTGGACACCTTTTCTGGAGCACATTATAAAACTGACCTAACTAACATTGACTGATTGAACAGTGGACTATAATAAGACTGACTTAATTTGATTGCTTTGTGAATAGCTATTTAAAAAAGCTAATTATTTAAAAAGCGACACATAAGAAATTTGCTTCTTTATTTTTAGTTTGGAACCAACTGAGAGTGTAGCTCCAATTTCATATTCAGCAAGTCCTAGGCCCAAAATGCTCTACAATGGCTCTCAAAACTACAGCCCTGATCAGTATGATCCCTATTATGCTGTTTATGATGAAGATGGCGAGTTGTATAAGGATACAGGTAAGAATATAACAATTAATAAAACATAATACTACTTTATTTTGTTGACAATGTCATAAGATTGTAATTGCTCCTCTATTTATATTGAAAAAGATAACAAAATTAAAGTAAGTGAATTTCACTAAATTCATTTGGTTTTGTGTCATTAACTCTGCATTCACTCCATAATGTAATTTTGGAAATTATCATTGATCATTTTATTAAAAAAAAAACTAGTATATATATATATATATATATATATATATATATATATATATATATATATATATATATATATATATATATATATATAGTTTTTTTTAGTTATTTTTTTATTTAACTAATTAATTGAACTATATTTTAATTTGTAAAAATAGTGGTGCATAAACATGCACTACTAATAAATCTACAATTGAAAACTTGGCTATGGTTATAACATCATAACAAGAATTACCAATTTTGATGGTTTCTGGTAAGCATGTCATTAACTGGTGGTTGGCTCTGGTGTTGGCAGACTATGTGCAGCAATATAATACAGCTTCGCTCCGACCAGCAGTGCAGCAAACATATCGAGGCACGCCACCATCGCGTAGACCAGTCGAGGCCTATACACCGAGACCGGTGTCCAATGATGATTATGATGACGCTCTCATTCAAGGACAGGTATGAGTTTTGGTTGCCATAACTAAAAATTTCAGTTTTTAATTGATTTATCAAGGTTATAATGATTTGCTTCAAATAATTAGCAAATAAATGTATAATAAATTATGCAAAACTGTATAATATTTTCAGATAAATAACCAGAACCGGTACCAATCTGCCATTCGCCATTCTACAAGGTACGAGTCATATTTTAATTTTACGTAATGTTATATAATAATTTCTTTCTAATGAATTATATTTATGTCGATATTCCAATAATTTACAATTGCCTCAATTTAGGGGCGAAGGTAATGAATTGGGCTATGATCATAATCTGAACAGCGTGAGGACGCCTGCATATGAAGCTACATCTATTAGCACCACTCCTTCTACTACAACTAGCACAACTACCACTACCACTACTACACAACGCCCAACTACTGCACCGTTCACTGAAGCAATGACCCCATCTCGATATACCACAAGGTACTACAAAAGATATCACCAGATCTTTTAACTTCATCCAGGCTTAAATCATTTCAAAATTCATTAACAACATAATTATCTCTATTTTTATATCATGTATTATAATATATTTATATTAACTTACTACTATTTTTCATTTAATTTCATAACAACCTTTGAATTGTCTAGTACATTTATAAGTTTGTATTACTAATAGAATATTTTTATTTTGTAACTAATTATTTAACTTTTACGGTTTAAAGGTTGTTAATATTCAATTGTAAATACTTAAACATATTTTTGTTTCTATTTTCTATTCATTCTTTCTGAGCTACTTATTTAATTATAGGATATTATTTTATATCTATAGCTTTTGTGGTATCTTTTTATCCTATGTAATTCCATGACTCCCAAATAGATAATTTTCAACTGACATTATAGTTTAGCTTACTTTTCTTTCGCTCATTTAACAGAAAAATATCGTTCGCAAATCAACATTTAGGCTCTTATCACAGTAAGCCTTTTGTATATTGCATTTTTTTCTAAAGAGCTTAAATTAGAAAGTTTTGTTTGCTTTATATTCAACAGATCATCCACAGATGAAAATCCTATTCGAAAACCAGAATCCTTAATAATTCGAAATCCTACAAATGAGTTTTCCACTACTTCACCAGCTCCTACAACCCTGCCTTCTGTTATAAACTTCTCTTCCCTTGCTAAACCTTTTGAGAAGACTGACAATGTGTACAGGTTAAGAGAGACGATATCTTCCACAGAAAGACTGCCAATTTCAAAACATTTTAGTGTGACTAACAGTAGTAATAATGTAAATGTAAATGGTGTTCAATCTGAGAATGAGAGGGCTAAGAAAAAGGTCTTGTCACTAACAACAGGTTTTTCAATAAGGCGAAATTCGAATAATACTAATAATCCTTATACGTTGACAGTATTAACTAGACCATATGATGAGTATAATAAATCGAGACGTACCTCTTTAGAACTAAATAAAAATAAAGAAGCGCATTTAAGTAGATTTTATTACAAAAGTGATATTGACAATGAGAAAAAACCACTTGAATCAGAAGCAAGATCATTAGATACAGATGACAAGGTGACTGAGATAATAATGCAACGTAAAAATGATGGTAGCTCAGAATTCATAAGTGATGAGGATGATATACCGATATACATTAGACCTATTCGTATAAAAAGTGCCGCAAATCCTGTAATCTCTACTACGCTACCTAAGGAAACAACTAAATACTACATAAAAACGACAAACCGACGACCAATATTTTTGCCTATAAATAAAAATCAAAACAAGGACTCATCTGAAAATAATATCAATAAAGCATTACTTACAGATTTTGTTGCTGAAAATTTACAATCGAAAAAGTCTACTGATATATCCTCTAATTCAAATATACCTATTCACTCTAAAGAAAAATCATCTAATCCCATTATATCGCCATACAAAACACTAGATAATTTAAGAATACATTATAACCCAAAAAATGATTTGACTCCAAGTCTTTCTACTACTAGTACTACATTTAGTACACCTACTACAGTTTCGAGTACAAATAAACCATCTTATTATAGTTATCGGGTAATAGATGAAAATATATCTGATCAAACGACAGAAGTATTTAGTGGTAAAGTAAGAAATGTTATTAAAGCTTTCTTTAATAATTTGGTAAGTACTTCTACGCCAAAACTCGAATATGATAGTTCTAGTACGGTAACTATAACTCCAAATACAGTAACAGAAGGAGTGATTAATATAGGCCATCAAAGAAATCCCTTAAAATATATTGATGATAAAATTTTAAATAATAATGTAAAACATTTAAAAATTGTAACGGAACCAACTGTTAGCAAAATTATTTCTCCTAATAGTGAAGTAGCAAATTATACAGAAAATGTTAGTCGTGATAGTAATTACATATTATCAACATTAAAAACTCCATTACTAATTACTAATAAGCCTACAGTGGCAATAATGGTAGACAGTTCAACTACTGATGAGTCAAGATTTATTCCAAGTAGGCAAGCACATGAATCGAAATTTAAAGAACTAATTGTTAATAAACGGCCAGAAGTCGAAACCTCACATAAATTTCAGAAAATAATAATAACAGAAAAGTCTATAGAAAGTGGTAATCATGATGCTTTTGTTGAACCGACTGTGCCTACAAATTCTGGTATTGAATCTACAAGTAAAATGTTGAAAGACATTGCCTCCACTACAAGTACAACTAAATCGACTTCGACTATGAAAGTTGACTCATTGACTACAACTAAAAGCTTATCCTTTCCGACACGAGCCTCACGAGTCAATCCCGCCATAAAGTTAGCTGCGACAAACCCTGGAGGTGGGCGCAGGAGTTACCAATCAACGACCAAATGTTCATCAGACAACAGTCTGCAAGCGAATCCAAAATGCAACGAAATCAAATATCAGAGGTACATTACTCGCCGGCCAGTTGTCTAAGCCTGACTGTCTCACATATGTGTATTTACGAAGGTGGAGGCTTCGTTTACAACATTCTCTTATTTTCTGCCTCGCGAAGTAACTAGCATGAAGGACTTAAGGAACTAGCGTCTAATAGCACTTGCAGCTGAATTCTGTCGCTTAACTTTTCTCATTGGGGGACTTCCAGTCGGTTGAGTTGATTAGAGAATTGTTAACTCCTGACGTGACCATTTCCATTTCCTGAACTCAATTGGCAGTATTAGTAGTCCTACTACGAGTACTTAGTGTAATATACAAATTAAATTATAATCAGCAATATAATTTATAACGTGATTTAGAAAGTTCCTCAATGTAGTTATACCTTACTATAATAATGCAATATTTATATGCACCACATTGCAATCATCATATAGTTTGTAAGTGCACATCACGATATGTTTAGGTACTAAACTTAAATGAATTTTTAAATATCTAAGTTTTGCATGTAAAAAAGAATTGTATAATATATTTTAAACAAATAAATTATTATGATTAATTTATGATTGGAAAATATATATTCTTACCATTTTTTATTTTCAGATTTATGAGAAGATCATGCTTTGTTTCTTAAATCACGCGTACTAACTGTATTGAAGTTAACGAACGTTTAAATAGATGATTTATATCTTACAGGCCTAGCAGCACTCGTGGTCGCGGCTCAGCTCACTACTCCACTGGGTCTGACGGATCTCAACCAGCTCCAAACCGAGGAACACCCCCAACGTTAGAATTGTTTAAAAATAATCGAATTGTGCTTATATTTTTTTTGCTAATCTCATCAATAATGTTTCTACTTAGATTACTACACATAATATTATATTTTACATTTCAAATAGTATGTCACTTACATTATTTTTTTATTTTCCGAAGCACTTTCATTATTTTAAATTCCTAATTATATTTTTTACCTTTTTATTTGATGAAATATGTTTTTGAGCAGTCGCAGTCGACCGACGCTCAAACCATCTACGGCCATCGTATCAAAGAGCTCAGAATTCGTGGATATCTATCTTCATCCACCAAGTAGACCGGCACCGGTCTATCCTCAACCAACGCCTGACAAGACGGCAGCTAAATGTAGGAAAGATGTTTGTTTGCTGCCCGATTGCTATTGTGGTGGAAAAGACATTCCAGGTATTGTTTAATTTCAAAATAATTAAAATAAAATATTCTTTGGAGCAAATAGAATTTAATGATGTCTTAGTTTAAAATGAATATTTTTATGAATTTCGTAACATTAATTTTAATGATAGGCAAATTACCTGTTGAAGAGGTACCTCAAATAGTGTTGATGACTTTCGACGATGCTGTGAATGATTTGAATAAAATGTACTATGAAGAACTTTTTGAAAATAGGCGAGTTAACCCTAATGGGTGCCCTATATCTGCCACTTTTTATGTTTCTCATGAGTGGACAGATTATAGCCAAGTACAAAACTTATATGCAGATGGTCACGAATTGGGCTCGCATACTATATCGTAAGTCACCTAATTGTAGATATACTGTTTGAATTTGATCTTTATCTCTCTCAATAGTTCTTTAACAAGTATGCAACTAACATTTCTTGGCCATCTATGTAATTTAGGCATATTATCTTTTCTTTGGTATTACAAATATTAATAAGTTTTTTTTTCTTTTCCTTCTTATCCTTGGGCCTATTTTACTTTTCCTTCTCCTGGCACTAATTGAACATTTCCTCAATCACTTGCACGATCATGACCAATATCCTATAACAAAACAGGCGACATGCCCGTGGAGACTGTACCACAAATTGTTCTTCTAACATTTGACGACTCTGTGAATGACCTGAACAAGGGTCTATATAGTGACTTGTTTGAGAAAGGCCGTGTGAATCCAAACGGTTGTCCAATCACCGCTACATTTTATGTTTCCCATGAGTGGACGGATTATAGTCAAGTACAAAATTTGTACGCTGCTGGACACGAGATGGCTTCACACACGATTTCGTAAGTTTAAGAAGAATGTTGTTCTACACAAGCTGTTAATTTCTGCACCTCTTATTAGTAATCGGAAATATTAACAATAAAATAGAAGTCTATTTTTAGTATTTTTATATACTTTGCATTTTTTATTAACTTCTCCTGTACTAAATTCTTATATTAATTTTCTAGTAATAATTAATCTTATTATCAGAATTTATAACTCTCTAATATAAAAATATAGATCTTTTAACAGTTTATACAAAATTTCAGCCATAGTTTTGGAGAACAATTCTCCCAAAAGAAATGGAATAGGGAAGTGGGTGGTCAGCGAGAAATTTTGGCGGCTTATGGTGGTGTAAAATTAGAGGATGTGAGAGGCATGAGAGCACCTTTCCTTTCGGTTGGTGGCAACAAAATGTTTAAAATGTTATATGACTCGAATTTCACTTACGACTCCTCTATGCCTGTTTATGAAAACAGACCACCTAGCTGGCCATATACTCTGGATTATAAATTATTCCATGACTGTATGATTCCACCTTGCCCGACAAAATCATATCCAGGTAAACTATCAATTCATTAATGTTCCCTAAATTAAATAAATATACAATCTGTAATTAAGGATCGTGTCCCACAAAAAAAAAAGACTTAAATTGCCACAAAACCAGTTATTTTAATAAAAAAAAAAAAAATATTTGCACTAATTTTGATAAAATTTATATGAGAGCAATTTGTGGGTATATCCTTTCAGAAAAAAAAAATAATTTTCCAAATTGGTTTATAACTGTTGGCGTTATGAGGTAACCAGAAAAAATACAACCAAAATGAGAACCTTCTTCTTTTTAAAGTTGGTTGAAATTTACGTGTTATTATTGCTTTGCTTCAAATGAAAATTTAAGATTTGTCAGTTGTTACATCGATGCAAACAAACCGTTTGATTAATTTATCAAATTTCCTGTATCAGGTGTCTGGGAAGTTCCTATGGTGATGTGGCAAGATTTGAATGGTGGGCGATGTTCTATGGGTGATGCATGCGCTAATCCTCCTGATGCAGAAGGCGTTTATAAAATGATATTAAAGAACTTTGATAGACACTACACAACAAATAGGTAAGTTGATATATACTCTATCTATCTATAATAGCAAAGATTTTTTGGGTATGATAGATCATTATACATCTATAATAACATTACTAAATACAAATATGAACATTTAATTTGTATTATATATTTAATTTTGATATTTATATTTAATTTTACATCTTTTAAGTATAGTGCCTTTATTAAGAAATAATACGTATGTGATAATGACCAACGGAAACATACGGAGTGACTTTTCAGTTTATTTTTTATTAAATAAAATGTTATTTATTAACTTGTTGATCACATATAGATACTGTTCTAGGTAAAGTTATTTGAATCTATTTATTATTAATATAAACATTAACACGTTTGATCAATTCGTTATGTATGTTATGTTCCAGGGCTCCATTTGGTTTGTTCTACCATGCTGCTTGGTTCACTCAGCCTCACCATAAAGAAGGTTTTATTATGTTCCTCGATTTCATTAATCAAATGCAAGATGTTTGGATTATTACCAATTGGCAAGCGCTGCAATGGGTGAGGGACCCTACACCGATATCTAGACTCAATAACTTCCAACCATTCCAGTGTAACTATCAGGTATGTAACATATATGAAGTGTTGCTTTGATATGAAATCTTTACAACAAATGAAACAACAAAATGGAATCGTCGAGTTCGATAGAGCGATAAGAGAAAATATATGTTTAGTTCAAGTTGAAAACTTATTGGATTACTTACACGCAATCTCTTATTTTCTATTCCTCTGGATATGTTTCCAAGTATTTTCTATACTAGGACAACATTACATATTTCAATTTTATAAGATTTTTAATCAATGTATGTATAATATTTCAATTTTAATATATACATATATTTTATGTTTTAACAGGATCGGCCGAAGAAATGCAACAACCCCAAAGTCTGCAACCTTTGGCACAAGTCTGGAGTAAGATATATGAGAACTTGTCAACCATGTCCTGAGATCTACCCTTGGACCGGCAAAACTGGCATTAGATCTTCACGTATTGATAACGATAATGGAGAATAAATGTATTTGAAACAAAGTAGAAAATATATTCGCCGTTGGAAATGATGATCCTATAGAGTAAGAGCCTGAACGACACGGATCATTATATTGTAAATTTGTACACAGTAGAAATTGTTTTGTCACCAATTACTGAGTGCCATTTAGATTTCGATGGTCACAAAGCAAGAATTGATAGTAAAATGTAAACAATTTCATTGGAGTTTGTGAGTTCGGTTAGAATTATACAATTTATTCTTCATGTTGTGTTCCATTGTATTGGAAACTGTGATATTAAGTGTTTTCAATCATGTAGTGTGAAGAATTTATCAATATTATTATCATTCATTTTATTTCATATATTTAATATCTACTTGTAAATGTACTTTTTCAGTAATATTATCCTATTTTGTGTTCGTTTGTAGTTAATCTATTTTAATACTCTTTGATTAGTAAAAAGACCTTTTTAATAATAAGATTGAAGATGAAATTAAATAACAGATTTCAGTATTTTCTCTTTAGTAATTAGACAACATTTTATACCAAGAATTGTAGTCATGTCTAAAAACATTCAATAATTTTAACGGAAGCCATATTAAAATTTAGAAAATATTTTTTCTAATCTTGCCAGCTTCGCAGTTGACACTGCCTTTTTACTATTTGTAAATATAGAATTAGTATTAGTATATATTTTTTTTTATATAAGTTTTTATAAATACTAAGAACAATAATATTGTTCTTAGGGTAAATCAGTAAATATGCCTACTACTGTTTTATGGTAAATGTATTTTGATGGAACGAAGAAATTACAAGAAAATTATATTGGAGATTTAAAATTACCTACAGTATAGCGTTACCTAGACGTCTGTTCACATCGTTAACTTAGTGATGTAGCACATGTCTATGTGACTGAAACATAATAATACTTAATTATTATCTAATTGTCAAAAAAGAAACAAGTATTTTTTAGTCGTTTTTACTTGTTTATTATAATTATATATTAATAGTGACTCAATTGGCAAAACTATATAAGTACTAGATAAGAAAGCTTTGGTATGCTATTGCAACTAAAGTAATTGGAAGCGCTTGCTACGAATCTATTTATCTAAATAAAGCATTATTTATAAGTCCTATTATTGTAAATATTAGGTTAATATTTAAAATTGGTAGTTTCATTTTTTTATAATTGGACATGGTTATCTCAAATGACTTCCTGATTTTAATGTACATCGGACTAAGATAGCACTGTGAGATTTTCAGATAAGTTGAGTTTAGACGGCTTTTAAATTAAACTCTTTTATGTACAAGAATTACGATATGTGACCAGTGCTAAGAAATAAAATATTATAAACATATATTGGTTTATTCTTTCATTTTATGTTTCAAGTTAATGAAGGGTTTAAAAATATATTAAGAGAAAGTTTGAGGTCTTGGTCAAGCCATGAAACAGTCATCAAAAATTAAATTGCAATCATAACACCTGGCGGACGAATGCCATTTGATATTTCATATATCAAGGTCATTAGAGAGCTATAAAAAGCCAGCTACACCTATGTCGTATTGTTACTACGAATTTTTTCTGGTGTGCAACAACAATACAATAGTTATAAAAAATATATATATATAATGAAAAGTTTCAAATATATTGTTTTAAATTTTATCTATTATATTTTAGCAAAATCTGAAGAAATTGAATATTATGCTTCGAAATCACTTTTAGATACTTCAAAGAAGAAATCTGAAGATTTAAGTGATTTCGACGAATATGAATTTCAAAGTAATAATTTAGAAGAATGTAATCACGGAAACCTTTTAAGAAATCGGAAAATATACTTAAGGCATTATTATCCTGATTTTAAAAACAATCAATATAAGAAAGATAAAGTAAAAAGAAGTGTCGATCCTGTATTTTATGGTCATCCGAAAACTAGAGAAGAAATTTGGAATGAAAATTTTATTAAAAAAAGTAGTGCCTTTGATCAAACCCCGTCCCTTATAAATCTCATTCATAATGTTACATTAACTTATCTATATGATTGCACGCCAATTATATTATATGATAATCAAGTGAAATCCCAAGACAGCTATCTTTTTCAAAACCTTTTTAAAGATTTTCCAGTCACTTACGTCCATGGTTATATAAATGATAACAATCAATTACAAGAATCGAAGCTCATTTTACAAGTAAACGAATGTGTTCATTTTATCTTATTTTTAAGTGACGTTAAAATAGCAGCTAAAATATTAGGCAAACGATCAGAAAACAAAGTAGTTGTTGTAGCAAGATCATCACAATGGGCGGTTCAAGAATTTCTTTCCAGTGCATTATCAAGGATGTTTGTAAATTTGCTAGTAATCGGTCAAAGTTTTAAAGATGAAGGTGATGAAACTAGGGTGAGTTCAAAGTTAACAAATATAATGTAAATAAAGGCGACATGTAATTTTCGCATTTTTTTTATATTTAGGAAGCGCCATATATTTTATATACCCATAAGTTATATACTGATGGATTGGGAGCTAGTATGCCCGTAGTTCTTAACTCATGGGCACATGGAAAATTTTCGAGGAATATTAATCTTTTTCCTACAAAAATGATGAAAGGCTATGCTGGGCATAGATTTCTTGTTGCAGCTGCAAATCAACCTCCTTATGTATTTAGAAGGTAAAATAATAATGAATTACCTAATTTACAAATAATACGATTTTAATTACTTATTTGAAAATTTATCTACAGGATAAAAACTGATTTAGATGGTGGAAATCCTCGAGTAGTATGGGATGGAATAGAAATTAGATTACTAAACTTATTAGCGGAAAGAAATAACTTTTCAATTGAAATAGTGGAACCACGAGAGTTATATTTAGGGTAATAATTACAAAAATATTATATTTTATTTGAAAATTATTCTCTTGAATAGGTAATAAGGTTTAAAAAATTATTAATTTTCAAGTCCAGGAGATGCTGTAACCAAAGAGATAATAATGGGTCGAGCCGATATTGCAATAGGTGGAATGTATTTAACAAATAAAAGGATACGTGATATGGATATGGCATTCAGTCATTCACAGGACTGTGCTTCCTTCGTTACATTGATGTCTACTGCATTACCAAGGTTGTTCGATATATAATAGTTAAAATCTGTGTAGATATTTTTATGATAACTAATAAGGTCATATTTTTTTTTAGATATCGTGCAATTCTAGGCCCGTTTCATTGGCATGTTTGGGTAGCTCTTACCTTTACTTATCTAATTGCTATTTTCCCATTAGCATTTTCTGATAAACATACACTCCGTCATTTAGTTCATAACAGTGGAGAAGTTGAAAATATGTTTTGGTATGTCTTCGGTACTTTTACAAATTGCTTTACATTCGTTGGGAAGAATTCGTGGAGCAAAACAACTAAGGTTACAACTAGACTGTTAATAGGTACAGTATTATTCGAAACATAAAAATGAAATGAAATAAAAGTGTTAATAATTATATCAATGACTGACTAATTTATATAATTTTTAGGATGGTACTGGATTTTCACAATCATTATTACGAGCTGTTATACGGGATCTATAATAGCGTTCGTGACTTTACCTGTTTTTCCTGAAACCGTTGATACAGTGGACGAGCTATTGTCAGGATTTTATCGGGTTGGAACATTAGGCAAGTTATCATAATCGGACCTTTTTTTTGTATGGGGTGGGGGGATGGATTATTAGTAATGGAAAGGTTAGGATCCATTGTTAACAACACTCTTATCAGGCAATCTCTTCGCGGTTCCCCCTGGAAACCATCGTGGATAATTCCTAGTAAATTCGTCACGATGTGCTAACTAACCTGACTTCATCTATTATCTGGTACCTTGCTTCTGTATACCGATAATGCAAGCGGAGTTACCATTCAATTTTTATGTTATTACAAATACTCTTAATTGCTGTATTGATAATGTTCTTATACAATCTTTTTTTTTTTAATAATATAGATCGCGGTGGTTGGGAAACATGGTTTGCTAATTCATCGGATCCAAAAACCAATAAGTTGATTAAGAAAATAGAATTTGTGCCTAATGTTGAAGCAGGTATTAGAAATACGACGAAGGCTTTCTTTTGGCCGTATGCTTTTTTGGGGTCTAGAGCTCAACTTGAGTATATTGTTCAAGCGAATTTTACAAAAACAACGTAAGTTTAGTGTGCTCGAATAAGTAGATATTTAATTCCTACATTATATAGATAAAGTGTCTCAATACAAATGCTTCACCAAAAACAAGTCAACGTGTATGTATTACAAAATTTTACGAATATATTATAAAGAATACGATAAACAGTGCATAATGATTCGTCATGCTTATTTTTAATGATTACTTTTATTTGTATCCAAGTATAGGCGTATAATATGTTTTTGTTTTAAAATTATTGATGATGGTTTGCATTAATTAATATGTAAGAGAAGATAGTTCCAAATTTTAAAGTTAAAATTTTAAAAAAATAAATCTAATCGCTTGAAATCCTAAAAAAGTGGGGCTTATTGTTGTGATTTTAAAAAAATATGTCAAAATTTAGTCAACCATATGTGAGTTTAGCACTTGATCTGTTTTTGACTAAAAGATTTAAAGTTTTAGTCATTATAAAATAACATTCATAGGTCAGTTTCACCAGTATGTAATATTAATAATAACAGTAATATTGTTCTTTTATGGAGTGAATCCTGTATTCAGCAGTGGGATATTAATAGGATGTTATGATTATAATCGCAGTGAACTGGTCACATAGTTTGAGGAACTAACAACTGATGAGGAAGAAAAGTTTTCGAGTGACTTTGCAAAAGTAATTTTAATTTAGTATGACCTGTTTCGAGATGGAATGAAATAATGGATTTTTTTATACAACTTAGAATGGCAAACAAGCTGATGGTCCACCTGATCGAAAGTGCTAACCGTCGCCTATAGACATAAGCAGTACCATGGACATAACAGAGTATACTGTTTCGCCCATGATACCCCCATGCGATGCCATTCCTGAGGACTCAGGTGTTATTCCTCTGTACCCAGTAAATTCACGCCATATCCCACCCTTCAAACCGAAACACAACCATGCAAATACAGCTACTTCACGGTTGAAACACGAATGGGACAGAGGTACCCAAGCAATCAACTTTTGTACAAAGTCTTAAGTTTTGCAAGCAGTCTTTGTATGCAAATGACGTAGGATCATATTTTATGATGAAAGGCTGGTAATGATGATGATTATTCTACTTATAAATAATCGTTAATGACTGATTTTGGTATTCTTACAAATGTGTAAATACTAATATTATATTTTTTTTATATTATTCGTTTTAGTTCAAAAAGAAGTCTTCTCCACATATCTACTGAATGTTTTGCACCGTTTGGCGTCTCTATGGGGTTCCCAAATAATTCTCTTTATTCAAGTAAATTTAACAATGGCTTAAGAAGAATGTATCAGACGGGTATTGTAGATAAAGTAGCAAATGACGTCCGCTGGGAAATGCAACGCACTTCTACAGGAAAACTTTTGTCGGTAATTTACAATTTATGCTAATTATTAGGTTTTGTACTATTAGATTTTTTAATGGATTATAATGAAACACAGTGAGTATCTGTTATAGTTTCTTAGAGAAATTTATAACAACTATCCAGTTTCTTCTAAGGAGAAAGATGTAAGCTTTTAATAGATTAATAAGGATATTAATCTAATATTGCAAATATGAAAGTGAGTTAATTTGTTTGTTACCTTCGGTTCCACCAATCGCTGTTGCAATTTGTAATATACTCGTACTGTATACCAAGCGGACGAAGTTGCGGGTAAAGCTAGTAAATGTATTTTATGTAAATCATCTTAAATAGACACTGATGAATGAAGTAATTTCGTCGATAAGTTTTAAGATTTTTGAATTTAGAACGAATTTTAATGTGCAAGTTTTTTCCTCGAAAAAGATTATCTAGAATCGGTAACTACAATCATTAGAAAATTAATAGGGAATCTACAAACAGTATACAAGATATTTATATACTTTTTTTACTTTATCCATAGATAAAGTCCATTTAAACTTGGTTCTCTCCATATCTTCCATAAAGGATCAGTCATGATAATAAATACGTATATATAAATACGACTGGTCCTTTACTACATAATAAATAATATTACGGAAACTAACAAAGTAGCAATAATAAAATACTCTTCAAAATTTTCTATAAGAGAAATGGTGTATGTATTATTGTATTAAAAAAAATGTGAAATTTACTAATATAATACTACTATTAATAAACACCTAACATGTTTACCGCTTTGGAAACAGGCAAGTTCTACGAGCTTAAAAGTTACATCCGTAGAAGAAAAAGGTTTAACGCTTGAAGATACCCAGGGAATGTTTTTGCTACTAGCCGCTGGATTTCTCGTGGCTGCTTCAGCGCTATTGTCTGAATGGATGGGCGGCATCACAAGGTATTGCCGTTTAAGAAGGAGGCCTAAAGGTGCGAATTCACAAGAGAAATTAATAACTACTCCAAAATCAGACATTAAAACTGAAGTAAATGTTAGTTTTGATGCTACTGATAGTAAATTGAATACAGATGATAGAACGCATAGTGTCGAGTCTGAGAATACTTTGGATGGTCAAATAATAAATGTAACTGAAGAAAACATTGTTGTACATGAGAACTTTGATGTAGACAGATTTGACTCGAGAAGGTCCAGTTCAGTGGATGTCGATAAAGAAGTGCATGAGATATTTGAGAAAGATATGAAGAGAAGGAATTTTGTTCGAGGCGATACTATAGAGTTGATGGACGACACAAGAGAACCAACTGCATCTAAAGGTGCTTTTGGTGACCGTATCAAGTAGAGTTATTTAAAATATTCCAATTATATTATTAGATTTGAAAGTAGTTGCATAAGGCAGATGTAATATTATGAATATTAAAATTTAATTTATTGAAATCGTTTGTTTTGTTGTATAATATCATACAATTTTTATTCTGAATGTATTTAAAATATATCTACAAAAATACAGTACTAGTAATATAGCAATCGATTACAGAGTAAAAAAAATGGAAGAATAATAATTTTAAAAAGTTAAGTATATAACGAGTAAATTGTTTTGAAAATTGAAGCTGTTTATTGGCGAAGTAACACACTTGATGCTTCATTAGGAATCTAGCGTGAGGTAGAGAGAATACTCACTAACTACTTTTATCGGTAGAATCTTAGAAGGTCTTGATTTTAAAAATAGAAATAACGAGTGGAAGATAATTCTTTAGATCATCAGTAATTCATTACAAATAATTATTTTCTTAACTATTATTTATTAATAACAACGACGTCATAAAATAAGGGGCTAAAGTTAAGAGAAAATGAAAACGAAATGACATCCAACTCTTTATTATCCTTCGAACAGTCATCAAAATAATTTATAACAATTTTTCTAACACTGTCGATAAACATTAATATTCATTCAGCCACTGAGATGTTTTCATTCTTCATACAATTTATACACAGGGCAGAATTGGCTGCCTCGACACAGAAACAGGCGCCGCGAGACCTAAATTAATGCAATATTTGGCCCGGCCTTAGCTTAAAAATAATTATACATTATGACTTAAATTCCCAAGAGGCACCTACAAAATATCGTTGGCACCTCTCACGTTATCAGTAAAAATATCAATAAAATACAACAGATTTTGCATTCTTTGTAAATTCAAACGAAAATATACCTAATACCTACCTAAGCATTTTGTTATATATGTATTGCACAACTGATGTTACGACAGAAATAATAGTGAAATCGACTTGAGTATTCAATAAGGATATGTATTTATATACCTATATACTATTTGGGTTGTTCACATTGGGCTGTGAAACAATAGCAAAGAGATGGGGAACACAGAGCACATAATAACTACTGTGATGAAATCAGTTACTGATTTCCAATATTTTATACTTAAAACTACATATTTTTCATTAAATGCAATGAATTACTCATTCTAAAGGTAATAAGTTAAAATGATAAAGAGTAACAGTTTGCTATTGGCACACAGCGTTATACATACAGATAAAACATACACAAAAGTAGGTACATCTACAAAACAAATCAAGCAAACTATTTTTACAAGAACACACAACATAGTTGTGCGCCGAAATGAAATCGTTACATTAAATATTAATAATTATTTAAACGTGAACTCATTCCCGATAGTAAAATTCACAACCTCGGAAATTATGCTCCCAATACCAGCTTACTGATGAAATATTTTATACAAGTTAAGTCGATAGAATAACATGTGCACTCAACAAAATACTTGAAGTACTTCAAACGCTAATGGCGTACACAACGGAGTAAACATGTAAACACTTACTCGTGTATTTTGAAGTACTAGACAATTATTTTACATTATACAAACTCCATCCATTTCCCATAAACATTTTGGTTTTGTGCAAATCATTTCTATTATTACTCTGGAATAATGGATATTTATTAGGTGCGCCAGATATGATAGGTATATCGGTAACAGTAACATGACTCAAATAACCTGTACAATATTAACAATCGGACACTTGTACTACCAATCCAATTAACTATACACCAGACAGGGAATTTGAGACTGTGAAACATTCACAATTAACAGATGTACACAATCTTAAAAGAAGATCAGACAACAAGCTAGACGTTATGATAATGTTGCTTATCGCCAAACAAACACGATTGAGCAAATTCTAATAGAAAGCACACAAACGTCTGGTAAATGAACTATTAGGAACGAACGACCGAGAAATCATTTCGAATAACGCAACCGTAGAATCTCAAATACAAGGATCTTAACAGTGTATGTAATTATATCACATTAACAATTCACTCTAACATTTAAGGTGTACTTACATGAATTTATATAGTTCCCTAAACGGGCCAACATTTATTATGCTTCGGTATTAAAATATTAATTCGTTTTAAAACTAATCGTGTACTTATTATACAATGCGAAAATACATTTTATATTTGCGTTCAGACTTTTGAACTTCAAAACTGGTAATTCCCTGTACAAATTTAACAATCATACATTAACATTTTGTTACTGTGATTTGAAGGATTTAACCTAATGAATTTTATAATAATTTTTTTTTTGCAAATGTCACTTAATGATATATTAAATAGTTACAAATCACAAGTTTACAGTTACAAGTATTTTATAAACAGTTTGACTGCTCCAAAACGTGGTATAGCGATAAATTGATCGCTATGACCGTAATGTACTCTTTAGGCGAGAATAGTTCTTTATTCAATACAGTAATTTGTTTAACGCCAAATCTTACGGTCATAACAATTTAACATCTCTTAAAGACTTAAACTTATTAGGATGTGAAAAAATATTAAAGCAAAAATGCTATCGTATTATACAAATTTGGTACAAAATGGTACATTTAGGCACTGTGAGTAAGGCATCTACAGTGAGAAGATATAAGGGGACAAAGTGGAACTAAAGGAAGTTAGTGTTACTATGTAACGTCGAGGGGAATTCTGAATGATTACAATATCCATGACACATATAAATTATGATTACATTATTATATACTAACATTAGACTATTGGACATGAATGATTCAGCGGTACAGGTTACCACTTTTACCAGATAACATCATCTAAAAATAGGGCGGATCGTGATATAGTGCTATACCAAAATAGGTATGATTAAATATATTTATAGTGTGTGCACTTAAAGCTGAGTTTGCTCATTTGTAGGTGATGTATTTGTACACCGTTACAATGAATGTATTTAAGAACCGATTAGAAAATGCAACGTCTTCAGATCACACTAACAAAATAAAATGTAATAATTTATCAACAAATTTGATATCCCTTAATAACCCATTATAGCCACCAGACATATAATCGCAACATCTACAACAAACACAATTTATTGAGTCTAAAAATTCTGGAGAGAATCAGAGGACCAATACAAAATGTACCTTGGTGGTGGTGTAAAATCACAGGGCACTAAATCGATCGTAACTTTTTCTTTGAAAAAGCACTCCTAATGGATTTCAAAGCATTACGAGGAACTGCAACTATAAAGTCTATAAATTAAAACAATTTACGACATTAAACAACAGCATTGCTACTTTAACGTAGAAACGAATATATACTTTCATCCTATACATTCCAGAGACAGCGTCGGTCAAAGGAAATTGTTGCGAGGAGCTCTAGATTTATTACGATACATTAACTGTGATCCATTACTTACAAGTCTGCTTAGAGTGCGAGTGTTATCATAAGAAATTTTAAAGCTTCGTGTGGTACTTTTTATATACTCAACTCTAGCTAACATTATCTACTTACTTACATAACATTCGTTCCTAACGGGACGTGTATACATATTATGTAAATATCATATATGATTCTCATGTATAAATATGTCAATAGATAATGTAGATTTATAATACATAACTTTATTATCTTCTGTGATGATACTACGCTTACTAAATTTACAAAGATTCAAGTTCGGATGTCACACTATTATAATATTTTTAAAATGGCACAAAAGAACTTTAAAACACTAACACAAAAGTCAACAGTCGTTTTTAAGTCATAAACGCACTTGACACACTTTTATAGTTTGTTCTTCGCACTACACAACACCGTCCGGCTACTTCGTATGTTCACTGAACTCCAGGGACCTTAGTGCATTTCTACTGTTATAGTCACTAATTGTTAAATTGACTAACTTTTAAGCTAAACAGACAATGGCACGGATTGCACATGTAATGTCATCTATGTACAGGGGAAATTAGAAATCTATCTATACGTACTTATAGTTCAAAATTGATCAGGGTTGCATCTATTCAGTAATCTTGTACTTATATTAAACATTTATCCTTAACGTTTAGTGTACTTGCATGTGCAATTATAATAGTATTTATTACGTATAATAGAAGGGTAGTGTAAACTTGAACATTCAATTTTGTTTTAACATTTTGATTTCTTTAGAAATCATCACAAGGATTTTAATATTTTTATCCTAATTTTTATATCCTTTAAGTAAAGGACAGTTCATTCTCGAGTCGAGATGATCTACGCATAAGCGCAAAAAGTTGACCGTGCCATCAAAATTTAAAGCACCTTAATGCACCTTTCCTTTTCAGACTTTTTATCGAAGATTCTAGCACTGTCACAGTATGTCAATGCAGCACCATCGAGGAAAGAACATGGTTGATTTCCAACGCAGGACGGTCTACCGAAGCTCGATAGGATTTTGCAGCTGCGAGTCGTATGATTTTTGGACCTTGGAGCCGCTCCGCCAGGGTCGGGTTTAGCAGTGCGGATGGAGGGGCCTCGGGTAGGATCCGAAGGCCTCATAGCCTAGCTATGTGGCCCAACCCTCGATCCGCGGCCGCTTCGTGTGGGGCTGCTCGTAGTCTAGTGGGACGGCGTTAGTGTGTCTCATGTCCTGTCCAGCTGGGGAGCCCATGTTACTAGATGTTACTGAACCTGAAATAAATACATAAGTGTGTTAAATTCTCAAGAATTCGACGTCAAGTCGGAAATTGGGAACTTTTCAGAAAGTCACAAAATAAATTCGACATTGAAGTCATCTTACCTCCGCCGTGGCGGGGCAATATTTAAGGCAGTTAACATTGATAAAAATTACATGTAACCTAATTCTGAATATACTACATTATGCCTTGAAAATTTTTCAACATAGCATTATAACTCTTAATTTTTCGTTTGTTTATTTTTATTTTTTTCGTTGTAGCCAGTTATATATAAGTTAACCCTATTGATATGGAAGAAAAAGAAGAATTTGAAACTTTAGCCATTATTTACATTATCACAAAAGAAACTATTGTGATATTTGCTAAATGAACATGACTTATGAACATTGGCTAATGAATATAGCACCAATAATCTACACGAGGAAAAAAATCATTTATGCATACCTCACGTTTAGTCTAACGTGAAGCGAATGAGATATTATGAAATAACAATATATAATATCTCTTAATTAATTAAGAAATTTATTATATTATTTATAAAATTGTTTAAAATAATTATACATCTCAGTTAGAATGTAATATAAAACTGTTAAAGGTATTATTTACATAAGCAACATGTTTCGAAATATGTCAACACAGATGTGCGTGGTCAGATGATCATCTTGTATCGAAACAACGTATTTAAATAATATTCAAATTTAACAATCAAGAATATGTATGACTAGCCGTTTCTCGTGGCTTTGCATTCGTGAATTAGTATTTAAAGTATCTTATGTGTTAAGGTATAATGTATCCGTGTATTAAATTAATTTTAATTACAGTAAAAACTTTATCTGCGGAGTATATGTTCCGTAAATATGCCGCGAATACAGAATCTGTGAATATGGGAATTCGAACCACTTATATAGCGACGATAGTATTTGATAACATATTTTAGGTATAATTGTAATAAGGTTTGTTTTACTTTATTATTAGTTCATTTACCGACGTGTTTACGTGTACTAAGAATACCGAATCCTTTTTATTAATATGTACCGATTAGATCCGTGAATAAGGAGCTTTTACTGTATTTTCAATAGTTTTTGCGTGGAGGAGTAAAAAACATCTATCCATTTTTATTAACTTAGGATAAATAAATAGCTAACTCCGCAAAATTGTTTACGTAGTGTTAAAGTGACCTATGAGTATATGCTAAACTAGAATGTGGTCTATCTTTGTACCATTCACTTTTTAAATTTTTTCAGCTGTTTAAGACTTAGGTTCCATCTATGTGAATCAGTACATAAAGTAAAATAAATCAAACGTAGTTTATAGTAACAAATTCATCCATCTCTCGTTATAAAATTTCGCTTTTACTGTATTAATACTGACAATAGGTTGGCTAATAGAAAAATGAATTTACTCAATTAATGAATATTTTAATTATTTTAAGCCTTGAATAATATAAACCATTCATTTAATTGGGTCACATTATTTGAATGGTTTATTTGTAATTTATTTATTTATATTATATATATATAATTATAGTAAATATGTTGCCAGTGTGAAATATTTTATGTAACATTCAATTTTTGATTGTGTTCATAGAACAATTAAATTAATTTTGTAAACCAGATTCTGGTGAAGAGTGTGAACAGTATTTAAATATACCATCGTTTTGACCATTTTTGAAATAAAATAAAATAATTTGTATTTGATAGTAACCATTAATTGTTCGTTCTTAAAAAAAAATATGTAAGTGATATTTTTTATTAGTTTACATATGTGTGGCGGGCGGTGTAAATGGTGAGTGAATTCCTATCTCACGATGAGTAACACTGACAAGGAGGTCATGTATCAGTATGGGTCACTGACATTAACAGTTGGCGATAAGGTCTATTCTACCAGTAATATTGAGTCTTATTTAGTAGTGTAGGTATAATATATGGGTGCTTATTATCTATAATACAACACACAACTTTTTCCGGATACCTATTATTTTTTTTATTTTTGCCAGTCAAATATCCTTCAATTGTTAAACTTCAATTGTCGTAGTATACCCTTTCAGATAAAAAAAAAAAGAATTTTCCAAATCGGTTTATAACTGAAGGAGTTATGATGCAACAAACATAAAAAAAGATATAGCCGATTTTTTTTTATTTATTAAAAGGTATACACCACAGGTTACAATCATTATAAACATTTATATAAAGATATTTTATATTAATATAATATAATATATATTACAATGATATTTATACACAGCATGGTTAAAGTTGTTGGCAAACAATGTTAAATTATAAATTATATAAAGAAAACATATGAATGTGGTAAATAATAATGAAGTACATGCAAATAATAAAAATACATAAAAATATTGACATGTCAAAGAGACTTGTTGGCTGATTGTAAAATGCTTTTGAAGGTATCTCGTGAGTTGAAGATATCAATTTGAGGACATTTAGCTGAAAATTGTGCGGCGTAATAAATAATAAATCGTATATGGGAAAAAATATAATTTATGAATGTCCAAAGATGGATGATGACGTTGACTACTACGATGATGCTGGTGATGAATTAACTCTATCTCATCGTAAATGGGAGTATTTGTCGGAGAAAAGTGCATTCAACCCATTTAACGATTGGGAAGCAATCGTGATACATAATATATTTTGTACAAAAGTCGATTGCTTGGCTACCTCTGTCCCATCCGTGTTTCTACCGTGAAGCAGTTGTATTTGCATGGCTGTGTTTCGGTTTGAAGGGTGGGATATGGCGTGAATTTACAGGGTACAGAGGAATAACACCCGAGTCCTCAGGAATGGCAATGCATGGGGGGGTATTATGGGCGAAACAGTATACTCTTTTATGTCCATGGTACTGATCATGTCTATAGGCGACGGTTATCACTTTCCATCAGGTGGGCCGACAGCTTGTGTGCCATTCTAAGTTGTATAATATATATATATATATATATATATATATCCTTTTGACAATTATCAATTCTTTGCGAAGTTTGTTTTTAAAGGGAATCGTCCTCATATTGGATATAAAAATAACTACATTTTACGTACCATCAATGACTCCAGATAGGTGTGCGGGCTGCGGCGCGGGCGCGGGGGGCGGGGCGCGGTGCATGTGCCCTGGATCGCGCGGCGGGGAGACCGGCTCCGCTTTGATTTTCACGTTGCTTGGCGATGCTGCTGGTGGCGGGGTCCCGCCGCCTCCCAGCACTGGCAAGCTGCTACTGTTGAAGTATGAGCAATTTAGTCACCTGTCGATTTGGTATATTTAAGTTACAGGCAAATATATAGGTAGGTAAGTATATATTAATGCTACGATGTTGGAATTTGTGAACAAGTTTGATAACAGAGGGCGCCACCATCATACGAGTAATAATGATAGAGAAAATTAAAGCGAATTTCATTATTGAAGTTAATTAATTATGTTTTAGGTTTTAGTAATAGAAGTACAATTAATTACATTAATTTATACAATAATGAATGTAACATAATTGTTTATTAATATAACTTATTAATATCGCAGATGATTTTTAATCATTACATAAGATTATTTATTATTGTCATATTTTTTACATCATGATTCTAACGACATCCAAAAAATTCTAACAAAGTCTCTAGGAAAAAATTGTTTGGCTTTTTTGTATCTAGACACAAAAATACTATTGTTTACCCGAAAACTCATACAATTATATAAATACAGTGTAATTTATATTTTTTGTCAGCAACAGGTACAATTTCCATCAGAGCGTAACATTGCACGTTTTTCAGTCGAGTTATCGTCCGGAAAGTGTTGTTAATGGAAACATCCAGTCTCAATTACCCGTATAACAGTTTATTTAATTGAAAACATTTTTGATTAAAGAAAGAAATATCTTTTAAACTGATAACTGTTTTTGTAATTTTAAAAGCTGATTCTTTATTATAAACTGTAAGAAAAATATTTAATACAAAGTAGTATTTTCTATACCTACTAGGGATAAAGCATAAATAATATTATTGGAAATCAAATTCCTAAATTCTAGGTATATACGAGAAGATAAAGGTCTTAAGAAATAAGTAAGTCATGTGCATACTAAAGATGTTGGTTCCAGCACTATAGACAAGTGGCAAACAAATTTATCCATAGATACGCTATCGCTGTCGCGTGCGTAAGATAGAATGAGACAGCAATTGCTAAGGTTTTTTTGCAATGCGAAAATTACGAAAATGTATCTATCAATAGTTATGTTTGTCACGAGGCTTGATAAAGACTACATTGGAATAGATAGGCTCTTTTTTTTTAATTACAAGAAGCGCATTTATTTATTCTAAAGCAACCTAAAAGTAATCTTAAAGCTATCGAAATTCAATTTTTAACTTAATCATAAATGAAAGCGAATAAAAAGCGTTTAAATTGCAATTAATTGTTAAGGATTTTAGAATTACTCACTCTAAAGTCCTTAATGGTGAATTTTAATGGTTTGTGAGTAAATAAGGAATTGAAAATTGGGCACAGACATGTACCTGCTGTGTTGTTGTAAAGTTTGCAGTTGATGCGCGCCCCATGATAGTCCGATTCCCATGTCCGAGCTCATGCTGAAGTCCTGTGGTCCGAAGTTGCCGAGTCCTGAGTAACCTAGTGGTGCCTGTAAGAGGACACAGTTGCATGTATTTATAAAGTTTCATTTGTATTAATTACAATTTGTTTGTTGAATAATAACTATCGTGAGTCATACTGTATTGTAATTATTTATGTCAGTTTTATTCACGTTTTAAATTCTGTTGGGTACCTATTGAGTATGAAACTAATCGGGTATCCCCATATTTAAAACGTGACTAAAACAAGCATAAACAATTACAATACAATTTATTTGTAAAACATTAAGCTTTTCCTGACAGATGGCAAATCATAATAGATGCCTTTTTTATTTATTGTTAGGGGGCAAACGAGCAGACGGTATTCCTGATGGAAAGCGGCTATCGTCGTCCATGAACACTTGCAACACAAATTCCTTAAGCGTTGCCGACCTTTTAAATGCTTGTAAATACGTTTTTTTAAATTCCCCATATTATATTGTAAAGGAAAAACTGAAGACGGGGCTCATTCCATAACTCAGATGTAGGTAAAAACAAACATTATGCACGGACAGTACTATGCTATGCATTCACCCAAGATATGAGGGTGAACCCCAGCTCTCTGGCGAGAGGTACGACATTAAAGTTATAAGGTTACGTTTCAAAAGTTATTTGATATAAAATTTTCTTCAGTTCCAAATCCTTTCGAAAATATCGTTAATAGTATATCTATTTACGTCATCAGCAGTACTTATTTTTAATTAATTAATTTTGTTTCTTTTAATTTTAATTCTTATTGTTGTTAATTATTAAAAAGATTGATCTGTATAATTTTGTCAATAGACTTTTTTGAACTAATTTTAGTGTAGAAAAGTCAAATTAAAATTTTTGTGGGAGAGAGAACATTTTTATTTTGCTTCACAGTCCACATACGGGATAACAATATCATATGGACACTCTGATATGAGTGCAACAATACAGCTTTATTGTGAAAAGCAATCTTCACTATCTTAGACTAAAAAACGGAAAGTAAATTAGGATATATATTAAGTAATGAGGTCCCTGAATTGATTTTCGGTCAGGCCAATTTAGGAAATGAACTTTTCTATATTGACTTGTGTCTGGTTCTGGATTGTGATCCAAAAGATCTTTGCCTAGTTCCTTATAATAGAGAGTATCCTCAGGAAAATGTGTTTAGTGTGATTGTGTAGAACTCATTATTATTATTTAAATTTCATCATCAAAAACACTTCCATATCAAGCCTATCCATAATATACATACCTCTCCAGTATAAGAAATATCGTCCTGCGGTGGTGGCATCGAGCTGGGTATGACAACGCGCAAGTTGTTATGCCTCGGTGAGTGGTGTGGCGGCGGTGCGTGTGCGTGCGGTTTATGCGGATGTCGGTGTGGCGAAGGCGCTGGTCCTGGAGATGGCGAAGGTGTGCAGCCAGCGCCGAGAGGCGATCCTGATCCTGGGTATCCGTTAGACATTTCGAGCATTCCGCCGCTGGGGTAAACTGGAACATTTAAGTAAGTTCTCTTTTAATATGTAGACTTTACTTAGCAATTGGAATTTGATTGACTAAAGAAGATCTGTTAAAGAAGGTATACGTCTAGAAATTGCGTAAAGTAAGCTTAATTATGATGAATATTGAAAATAAATATGGTACCGTTGTTTGAAAAATGATTATATATATATATATATATATATATATATATATATATATATATATATATATATATATATATATATTGTATGTTGCTATTATGGCAGGTATAATATTGATGGCACTGATGATGATGAATGGCAACATCGATTCATGAAAGATCTTTTACGTATATCGACATTTATATTCGAATACTAGAGATGATAAATACAAACATGAATATATATAAATAAATAAGCATTAAAATACATACGAAGTAGTCATATATTATAAATCCATACATTGCAATTATACTTTTTTCATTATCATTTCTGACGTGTAGTGCACAATGCTATTAATCTAATGCGATCATCAGGGAAGTTAGTTGGGAATTGGCAGATAGACTTGGCTTTGATTATAAGGAACATATTTTTATGATTAACACACCATGTAACTTTTAAAATAAATAATTTATAAATTGGAAAACATAAAAATTATAATAAATAAATTGCAGTAATACATAAATATAAAGTAATAAATACCAATTGCTTATTGCAATTTCAATTTTTGTTAATAACCATATATGGGATCTTACCTGAATCGGTTTCCGAGGAAGAAGGCCGTGGACTGATAGAGGTATGCATTTGAGGACTAGCTTGTAACAATGATTGATCATAACTTCCGACTGGGACGCTCACAGGTAAGTTGTAATTACTTCCGGCGACACCAACTCCAACTCGACTTCCATTCAACTGGTTTCTTTGCATCATCATTTGAAATTCTTCATCAATTTTTGAATATTTGGCTTCAGTACGCGGTGTTAAGTTATATTCCGGTTCGGCTTCTGGACTGTCTGGTGACATCACTCCGTTCTTATGCTCCTTCTTCGTTAGGGCCTGCAAGTGTCAGCGAAACCAGCTCAGGTGGCTTGACGAGCCAAAATTATCAAATATCTACTGTTTTAATCTTGGCATGCAATTAAGTTAATATTAGTACCCTTTCTACACACCATTAGACTTTCAATTATTAATTTAAAAACTCTTTCAACAAAATTTCAAATTTGCGAAAGTATGTAAAGAAGGGTTCCAAAATAAAAAGTGCACTCAATTAATTCTACAACGTGATCTAGAAAAATTGTACGGGAAACTTTTTAGCGTACATTTGTGTGTAGTGTCGAATGCAATGATGCAACTCTGACTTTACCCTATAAGACAAATTGTAGTCAGGTACGCGCGGTTACTTCAAATAAACACAAAAATATATACAAAACCCATGCTGTATAAGGAAAATAACATAAACATCGGGGTGTCTAGTCATAAACTGTTAGTATAAAAACTGGGTGTCTGGTGTCTTGTATCTTTTTTTTTCTAACAGGAAATAAACATGCTGCACTTTATTAGGTTTGTGTTTATCTATTCTTGTGACTATAATCGACATGATACTGTGAACATTTGCTGTATCAAAGTAGCTGGTATAACTACAGTAGGCACAACTAACGCCTTCCATCAGATATAAGTATACAACATTTATATTGATAACAATGTTACCAATGAGTGTTTTAGTAAGAAATAATAGGCATTAGGGTTTATTTGGTGAGTAGGAAGCACTCGGTTAATGGGATCAGTCAAGTTTGCATGGACATTGCATTGCGATCACGGGCACACAGATGACGCCGTACTTCATGTACCTCGATGATGTTGCGGTTGGTCAGCGACTCGTGGGGCTCGTTGTATTCCGTATACTTTAATAAGACCTGTAATACAAGAATGGTATATATATGTAAACGTATAAAAATAAATGGTCGCTTTTATAATTAAATTTAATAATTTGAGATATACATATATTTGAGCTACGTCTTTATTGTTAAATCCATGATAATGCCATGTTATGAGTGCTTGCAATATCGTGTCGATTCTCTATGAAACTGCATACGATAAAATAATACGACATCGTGCAGTTCCATGAAACATTACAAAAACGCTCAATGATTGTAGAAATTAAATACATAAGTAAATACAACAAGTAAGCCATCTCTCATTTTATATTTATAACAATGGTCCAGTGTGGTATTTAATTCAAATTTGGTTAATATATTCATTATACCCTTCATCGTAGCCATGACTCGAATTTAATGACAGGCCTACATGTCCAGTTGTTGAATATTAAATATGTCATTTATTCTATTTTATATCTTTGTATCGAATCTTTTATGAGGTAGGCAGACAACTGACACCTCCAATACCTTTCTTGCTTTTTCCGCTTTCGTAATATCATACATGCATTTTGTTTATAGATAGAGTAACTATTGACTGTATTTTGCAATGAAATACCATCACCATACAAAATTTCAAGATATTTAATGTTTAAATATTAATCGGTTTAATTTATTTTATTACAAAAATATATATATATAATGTAAATACTTTATATGAAATGTTATCTTATTTCGAGAAGTACGAGCAAGAGTGCATTTAAAAAAGTTGTATCAGAACTTAATAAAATTTTTTTTAAATATGGTACAAATTGTATTTAATTGATTATTAACGAAGTATTATAGTCGAAGGTGAGTTTTACCTTATCCATGTCGGTGCTAGCATACTGGTAGAGTTTGTTGTTGGAACTGAATATAATCAGAGCAATCTCACAGTCACAGAGTACGCTGAGTTCGTAAGCCTTTTTCATCACACCAAATTTGCGTTTGTTGAATGTCACCTGAAATTTAAAATTAAAGTTGTAATTAATTAAAAGACTTTAAACATTCTCGAAATGAAACACAATAAAATATTTGAATTTAGAACGTGAATAGTATGTCTACAAATAAGTAAATACATCGAAACAAGCCCTGTTTCAGTTCCGCAAACAAAAACGACTGCTTTAATTGTCACAAAATTAATATGCCCTTAAACAGGATGCCGATGATTCAGGATATTATGTTGGAAATAAGATTTTCAAAATCGAACTGGAATTAAGAATTTTGTTATAGAAGTTGCTTAAAAATATCACAATTTAATATAAAAATATGCAATAAGTTGAAAATACGAGTGAATTTAATGTTTAAAATTAAATGGATGATACAAGCACTAGTTAGGCAGCGTTTTTGCATTTTAATGGATTGTTGGTGTATATCTTTTTACATTTACTGATAAACTGAATTATTTTAAGTAATAAATTGTTTTTCAATTCTGTTTATAGCAGACGAAGTTATGAGGTAACATAATAAAATACAACCGAATTGAAGTCGGTTTTAAATTTTCTAAAATTATTTTAATTTGAGAATTATCAATTTTTAAATAATTTAATTATTAATTTATTTATGACACAAAGTTTCTTAGCTTTAGAACCAAATTATTAGAATCTTGGGACTTTAAAAAAAAAAAAAACTACTATCTTTCACCAGTACGTGGTGAACTAATCCTTTTTTTAAGGGCAAAGCAATAAACTGAGATGTGACTATTTTATGATACTATGGCACACGCATGAAGGAAGGGAAAGAAGAGAGATTGTTAGTTTATATATTTTGTTTTTTTTTGTTTTGTGTTTTTTTATTTTCATTCTTTTATCTCTTTTATTGTGTATTATGTGTATGTTTTTTTATTGTAATTTGTGTGCTGTAAGTAATGTAAATAAATTATCTATCAACATTTATATTTTATAGTAACTTAGAAAAAATATTAGTAACAGGCAGGTCATGGACGTACATTATAGTATTTTATTTACTGGAATATGTTAGAATTGGCATGTATCATCGTGTTGTGACGTTCATTACATTTTGTATATTCCGCATCGTTAAATTATATAGCAATATTTGCTGTGGTTTTGAGATTAGTTTTATTTTCCTTAACATCAAAAATGATATTATATATAAATAACATATTTTCTGGATAAATTAGGACATTGTATGATGCAATTACAATTAGTAATCTAAACTCAACATTATGTACCAAATACCAATGATGTCTGATAATTATGGTATACACATATTTTGTAGTAAAGATTAAATAGTCCGAATAGTAGAATAGTGAGAAACCTACCTTACAGACTGGTAATATATCTAAGTAACTGTATCTCAGTAGACATAGAATAATAGATAAATTATGTTAAAGTTATTACATTTTAAATACAGCTAACTTATCGTGATTTAATTATTATTTTAACAAAGGATTTAAAATCAAGCGAATATGTATATATTCGCTTACTTTTAAATGCAATGTGACAATCAAATATTAATCAATATATAATGCAATGCACGATTATATTTTCATTTTGGTATATTCACAAGTTTAATAATTATCATCACTAGGAACACTCAAAATTAACTAAAACAAATTGACCTTCGCAACTTTCATTTCAGTCGTCTGCCTATTCTATTGTTGAACCATTTACGTTTGACCTCCCTCATTCTTCCTACAAAAGAACTGCAACTTTGTAAAGGGGCAGTTAACAGTACTTTATGGGATCATGTTAAACTGGACAAGGGTGGTATACTGCGTAATCGTATAATTAATAAATTACAAACGAGAGCGGTCGTTGTCCTTTCGCGATAATGTTTTGCAGTGGGAGCTGCTGCCACATCTGTTGGGTCAGACTGCATACTAAGGTCATTTCACTCATTCGTAACCTTGTATCGATGTTAATTTGTAAAGACTTCGCATGTATCCACTCTATTTACTTACAAAGTATTTAATCAGATTTCATAGTCTCTTTAAAGGTTAGCACAGTTACACTATGAATGCTATCGTTGTGCTAAAAGTTACATTCTTTATCAAAATGACATGCTACTGAAGTTGTATTAATTAATTTGTTAATGTAGTTCGTATTTTACATTTCATAGCCTTTAAGATACTGTTTTATCTATTGTAAAATAATTTAGATTAGACAAGAAAACAAGAAACGAAAAATAATATTGCACATAAAGTGTCAATTTGTAATATGTAATTCTAATATAGGTCATTCAGTAAAATTTGAAATTCGAAAATAATGTAGGTCTTCTATAGTAACACTTAATTTAGAGTAATTCACAACTTATTACAATTAACGAATAACTATTGAACTGACCTGTCGATTCCGTTCATCCGTGATCCGGGATATTTGTATTTTTTTCCGACCCATAGTGGCAGCAATCTTGGAGGGGGTTTAAGGAGCTGGGGCAAGAATAAATCGGCCTGGTGGCTGGTTGATACTGCAGATGTCAACAGCTGCTGCAATCTGCTGACAAACGAAACAAATATTTACATTAATAACTAAATACCTTTACAGCTTAAAATTAAACATATGAGAAAAACGAACATTTTTCTCAAAGGACATTTAATTTCTCATACTAACTCGACATATAAACGTGTCGTGCTAGTAAGGATTTTTATCTATTTTGTTAAGTCAAAAACTTAAAAGTTGGAAATGAAACTTAAAGGATGGACACATTTTGAGATATATTATAAGTTTATATCTTACGATAGATATGCTATCTACCTTAATTTCAGTAAATTATATAATTCGGTTATGACTGCAATATTAATATGACATTTCTATCCATTCTATTTTACGATGTGTACACATTAAATACCTGTAACTAATCTAATAATACACTATCGCGGAATGGAATAGCTTTATTAAAATTATTAGTCCAACTATACAATTAAAATTATACCTTGCGGCTACATTTGCCATTCCAATATTTAATACCTTATTCTAAAACCTAATGTCTGTGTTATTACTAGTTTTAATTCATTGATATATAATTTCTATAATTGCTTGTATAATTTTCATAACTATTAGACAAAGGATATTTAAAATATACCTTTAATATGTAAGTAAAGTTATTAAATTACTAAACAAGTTTCTATTGACCAAGATAGAGTTTTTAAATATTTCATGACAATAAACTGAACCTCATATTTACGCTGCTTGTGAAAATAACATTGATAAAGTACCAGGCCAGTGGGCAAAAAAAACAGGCCGTGTGGGTTGACAGGGAGTTATTATGTAAATGTTTGTGACCCACAGTTCTTATGGTATCATGAGTAGGCAATGCAAATTTTTCACCTTATAGTGTTGTGAGAGCGTGAGTAGGCGTGCAACTCAACACAATTGTTAAATGTTTATAAAACATTATGAAAATGTTAAATTCAAATTTTCTATCAACACAATTGTTAAATATTTCAATCTGTTTTATAATTTCATTTGAATTATTCATTATATTTTTATTTATGGTGCAATGTTAAATAAATAAATAAATTCTTGTAATGCTATTTTCTTATTATTATTTATTCTATTCTTATCCATGTTACTATGTTACTTGTATCATTATATATTTTTTTATATTACTTAGTTACTTTCAATATCCCATACGAGCAAGCCTAGAGTAGGACGATACCGCACTAGATGGAGTGACGATCTCAAATACATATCAGGGAGCCAGTTGATGCAGGTGGCTCAGAACCATTCCTTATGGCAGTCTATGGGGAGGTCTATGCCCAGCAATGGACAGATAACAGTTGATATGATGGTAATATTAATTAGGTGCTAAACAAGTCGTATATTTGTCACCTGACGATAATCTGTTACCGTAGTCTATGAACCCGTAATTTTAGGGGCATTACGCACGCGACCGACCTATTGACATTGCCGACTCTAAAGAAACCTCATTACCTCTTTTTGTGAAAAACCCCTTGTTGTAGTCTCTTGGGGAAACCTGCTATGGTATTCGTAAAATAATTTATTTTTTATAGTGATAATATTTTCTTTTGTAAGTATTATTATTTCTATCGTTAACTGTCCACTGCTGGAGATAAGCCTTTCCCACAAGAGGAGTTTTGCCAGTAGTTGCCATGCTTGGCAGGCGGCTTGGCAACCGCAGTTTGGCTTTTAGAAATGTTTTAAGAGGGACGCTGCTGCCCATCCCTCGCCTTCCCTTAGTCGCCTCTTACGACACCCACGGAAAAAGTAGGGGCGGCCCATTTTATGCCGGGCAAACACGGCAATTTTATAAGTACTACATTATATATAATATAAGTAATAACATTATAACAGTATTTGCAGTGCTGCGAATTCCGTCTCAAATGTTGTGCATGTTTCACGTGTATGCGACGTATAAAATAGTGTCACGTTTGCCCAGTTTCCCCTCATTTGCTTGTTTGCATTTGTCCGACCTCTACTACGCATTTACTTTGCATGTGTGCACTCAATGTGTTACGGTGTCGTCCATGTGTGAGTAGGGTGAGTTAGGGTGGATGGAGGTATAGGGTGTCAGGTCACTGTGTTTATAGGTGGCTTGTTACGTCGCACTTGGGTCTAATCATGCATTATCACGTTTCGCATGATTAAGTATAAGTTTTTAATTTGCGTTCCTATATGGATTTTTGTGCGGTTCACAGAGTATATTCACTTAATATACTCTATATATATATTTGATTGTCTGTATTGCATTTAAAGAAGAAAGGATACGGGATAAGGAAACATAAAATTGTAGTTTTCAAGAATTTGTCAACATTGTTCGTTTTGCATCATGTGGGTAGTTCACAAATATATAACTCAAAGTATTATGGTGCACCATATAGTTCCAAACTATTTAGTGCTTCAACTATAAGTATCACATATGAACTGTACTTATCGATGCCATTATGGGTAATCAGAATAACGTTGCAAGTCGCTAATATCACTTAATGTTCTCACAATTCCTTGACGTTATTTTCAAATTACTTTTTTATTTCTAACTAGCTTTTGTCCGTTACTTCGTATGTGTGGATTTCATTATTTGTAATTCTTCATTACTATTTAGAAGTATTAGCCAATTTCGAAGCCATCTACTACACTTATCTACACAAACAAATAGTAACTAATATAGACATATCGAAAAATGGTGATGAATTAGAACAGTTTTTTTTTTATAGTAGCCGGTATTTCATATGCGTGGATTTCAGAAATAGTAAAACCAGTGAAATAGATTATTTCTAAATAACGTTTCAAGATAAAATGTACACTAATTTTTAAGTTAAATCTTCATGAAGACTAGACAAAACTATACCCAATTTGATGTAGTAGATTTTGCATGATGTCGGAAAAAAAAACAGATAGACAATGTTTCTAAAAATAATTATTTTGATTTCTATTTCTCTAATTAAGACACCTCATATATTTCTTTCTGAAATAACTCCAATGAACAGACATCATCTGGTGACAATTGTATTATATTAGTAATATATAAAAAATGCTATAACAATAAATGTGGTCGTGCTTGCACCTAATGAACCTATGATTCATTATAACAATGAAAGGGTTAATGGTAATAAAAAGAAGTAGAGGACAAAACAATTTGGAGTCGCATTGAAAAAACCGATCCACGACAATAGCTTTCTTTTTAGGGTTATCGCATAATCAACCTTTTACTGAATAGATATTACGTATCAGATGCTTTTCACAAAACATTTCAACGTTTACATTGAAACGGACTATTTATAACTAGTCTATTTTCCAATTTAGGCATAGATAATATCGGTACCACAACGATATCTATATATTGGGTTCCTCTGAAAAATTATGGCGAAAAAAAGGTCATCCATCCATTTAGATATCGCTTATACCAATCGGATATCTCCATTCCATTCAATTGAGTATATGTTAAGGAGGTAGAGCCATGAAAAAGTTTGCAAAAACAGTAGTGATATAAAATGATCTAGGGTTATTATATACTGTAATTTCTCAGTAATATATCACCCTTAATTCTAAAAGTCTGTATAGACGATGAATATATTATATTTCCTTTTATCTAACTAAGCCGTATATTAGCGCAATACGTGTGTATTGTGGAACATATTTTAGGTGTTAGTATTGTGATCGGACTAAAATTTATGCGGAAGATTATTTTGTCGGATAGACGAGGCAAGCGAAGGTCTGAGGCCAAATTTTCCAGGCTTAGGCTGAATAAGTTTTCAATCGTATCCGCAGCGGTTGCGATCCTTCGTCGAAGTCACACTTAAAGATGCGAAACAAATGCACACCACGCGGCTATTTATCACGCCTTGAAATATGTAGTCTCCCTCTGTATACCCTTACATTTCTTTATTCTACATATGTCGTAGTAGGAGTATGCGTAGGTAAAAAAGGGTACGTGTGTTTGTAGCCTAATACCGGAGTACAGCAATATGTATAACTCTTAGAAGTAGGAGAGATAGATGAAGAGCAGACGATTTTTCTCTTACAAAGTTTACCTTTGATAATGGGAAAGCTAATTTACATATTTCTAGAAATTCTGCTGCAGATTGGTGAAAGGGGGATTTAAGGCTTCAATGACATCGACGTCAGAGCCGCCTTCCCTTTTTTCTCTCAGCTCATTAATTTTTTTCTTGAAAGGTTAATGCGAGCGTAAAAGCGTGAACCATGCTTCGTTGCGAGGTAAACAAGTGAGAAAATCTTTCACACGTCACTCAAATGGTTATAACGAATCATTAGTTGTATTGATAATTTTTAAGTTACTATTTTTTTCATTTAATATTATGCTATATATTATCTACAGGCTAATAGTAATGTGAGAAATACCTGTGTAAATATGGTGGCTTTAATTAAAAACTGACGAATATTGTTATCAGAGGATACTTATTTTTCTCGACAGTTTTTCGCGACTTTATTACGTACTTGTTGATTAAGCAATAGAGAATACAATAGTTTAATACAAAATCTAATTTATTCTATTGAAACGAGTTCTTCCAAAAATATAGTACAGTCGTAGTATAAATTATATATATTTATATCGAGCAGCTAGCGGCAAAAAAAGATTGTAATAAACGGGCATCTGTTTGCTTTGATTGACACATAATTTTTTTATACTAGTAAAGAAGTACAGAACTAGTATTACTAGAAAGAAAGGTTCAAATTTTTTTTTAATTTTTAGTCCTATATTCTCTTTTTTGCTATATTTTTTTTATTTCGATAATATATTCCTTTAAAAGGATTGGTAATAAAAATGATTAAAAAAATATCAATTACTTGATGATGACAATAAGTAATTACCTATAAGCATTTAGAGTAAATATTGGATGGGGAACACTTTTCAATAGTTCAACAACTGAATAAAATCCAATAGGAAAGCATTTAATCCCGTTTGACATTTCCACTTTCCAGAATTTTCCTTTGATTCGAGCGGAAATCAAATTCAGTAGTTAGGCGAGGCGTGCGTGGGTGCGCGGTCGTCAGGCTGCCTCTGAGCCCAGCTGACG